CATAAAACGTAGATGGTCACTGTACGTCTTCCGAAGATGTTCCAGTTGCAGCACAGTAAAATCAATGAATGTTTTGCCATCCTTGACGGAAAGAAGAGTTTTCGCCGTCTGTAGTCCCATGCCCGTGCCAAGACCGCCATTGAGTTTCAGTACCACCAGGTGCTCCAGTAGAGAAGGGTCCGCCGGCACGGTGATGTCTTCAAGTGAGTCGAGGGACTCTACGGGAGATATGCTGCTCTCGGGGATGTTGCCTGTTTCTCCTTTGCTGATGAAGGCGTGCTGCTTCAAAAATGTGCGAATGCACGCCTCGTTCACCCCTGCCGCCTGCATCTTTGCCCTGCAGGCAGAAGCAGCCTCTGAGATCCCCGCAGTTACAGACGACATCAATGTAAACAAACGCTTTACACGCAAGCAACAACAACAAAATAGTAATAATAATAATAGTAATTAAAGTAAAACCTCTTCTGACGCTTTTCCTTGCAATAAGCGGGCAAAAGGAAAAAGAAAAGAAAAAACGGGACACACAAAAATGGCAGTTTTTGTCTCAAACAAAGCTTACATTTGCTCTCCAATCGTTTTCTTGTGTCATTTTATTTCATTTTTCTTTTTGTCTTAATTTCACAACTTTTAATCGGCATTTTCGTCTCGGCTGGAAGACGCGTCCTGTCGTCCCTCTCCCCCCAACAGCGGCTGCTCCTCCAGGAAGGGGAAAGAAATAGAAGCATGTGGCGGCGCACGGACACTGCTGCTAGGTGGTCAAGTGCGCAAACATACTCTGCAGTTCGTCCTCGTCAAACTCATCCACATCCTCCTCCACGTCTTCCCACTCGTCGGCGTCATATTTCATGTCGTATTCCTTCTTACCGCCGTTTTTCTTCACAGCCTCTTCAATAGAAAGAAGTTCCGACTGATGCTTCGCCTTCTGTTCCTCCTTTAGTTGGCGGATGTACTTCCCAAGCTCCCGCCGCTCCATCTTCGCGTTCTCACCCTTACGTATCCGCAGTCGACGTGCTTCCAACTCCCTTGTATGCTCTTTTAATACCATGCGCTCAGCGGCCTGCTGTTTTAGCAACTGGCTGCGCTCTTTTCGCAATGCATCGAGTGCTAAAAGCCGCTGTTTCCCCGACGACAACCGACTACCGAATTTTTTTAGTCGCAATTTTGTGTTCCTCTTCACGATACCAGTTGTGGCGGCTGAAGCAGAACCATTTTGTGACGTCGGAACCCTCTTGGAGATTTTAAGTTTCTTCTTGCGAAGCACCCGCGAATTTCCACCAATGCGGCGCTTCCCCATCTTTCGCTTACGTGCTGGCTAACACGTTCTCCCCTTTCTCACTTCCAACCAGAACAAAAAAGAGTGCGTGGGTGATAGAAGAAGGGAGAAAAGGGAAGTGGTTTGCCTACGCGTGCACAGTACTCAAGGACACATGGAAAGGTCTTTATTCACCCTTATCGTAACAAAAAGTCAATGTGGTCGTCAAATGACAGGGTGAGACACATCTGCACAGAAAGAGAAAACACGAACAACAAAAAAGGAAATTCAGATGTGTAATTTACATAGTTATTTCATATAGGGAAAAAGAGAAATGCGTCTTTGCAGATGTGCAGCAGCCTTTCTCTCCAGTTTTTTCCTTTTTTTTTTTTCCTCCTTTCCTTTCCTCACCTCCAAAAAAAAATAATAAATAATAAATAAATAAATAATTGGGTCAACTCGTTCCAGACATTTCCAGTAAATTTCGCCTCGTCTTCCTCGTGTTTGGTCCCTGTTCTGCCTGAAACCTGAAATTCAGTTGCTCCCCCCCCGGGTTCGGTTGCACAGGCCTCAGGGAATCATCAGCGCCGGTAAACCCTGAGACTGGAACAAATGAAGAAGACCCGCGGTAACGTCCTCGAACGTAATCGCCGCCACACTCTCTGCGCGTGACAAGATTTTTCTCAGAAGCAACGGGATGGAGTGGGACTGTACCTAAATTGCTGCGCTCTGTTCTTGAAGATCTTAGAAGTGGAATCGGCACCCCTCGTGGTATAGCGTTGTTGGTGCAATAATTCAACGCTTCCAGGCCTTTTTTTTTCTTGGGGTCTCCACAGCCACTGTCGTTCTCCATGTTGGTAAAAACAGTCGCCTTCTGCAACGACAACGCAACATTCTCCTCGTCACCGGAAGAGGTGGGGCGCTGCAGGGAATGAATAGAAGAATGAAAGTAAAATTCCCTCGTTGTGCTGCCGCCCTTCACTTCGTTGCTCCCAGTACTTTGGGTCAAGGAATTAGCTAGAGACGGAAGTAGACCTGGAGGACACGCGGAGTTACCGAGAGTCGCTGGTGACGCGTGCGAAATCGTGGTGTCTCGTGAACCACCGCTAGAACTACCCACGAACGTATCATGAGACGACACTCCATCATTCAAATGACCAATAAATGAAGCCAAATTTGCTGAACTGATAGATGAGAAGGCCGGTGTTTCTGAAATGACTACAGGGCCAAATTGTTTTTGTGGCCGTCGCTGAGTCCGCTCATCAGAGGTCTGCAAAGGGATGCAGGACATCGTAGGATTATCGTGCACCTTCCGAGGGGGTGGAGACGGCGGCCGAGGCACTGGAGATAAAAAAGATGAAGATCCCAACTGAAATTGAGGCATTGATGCTCCGACAGTGGGAGTTCGACTCCCTGGTCTGATAGATACAGGACGGGGCACCAATGTATGTATATTATTACCCTGTCCATCCACCGGCACCGTCGTGGGCGCAGGAGCAGCCGCTGCCAATGGAGATCCCGCAAAGTCACCTTTCCCCTTCTCTTCCTTTTTCTCTTTCATTGTCCGCAGACGTTCTTGCAACCGCCGCCGCCTCTCTTCCGCCGCCAGGTTAAGAATAGGACGATTTAAAAATCGGAGCGGCGTCGCCTGGTACTCTTCCACAATTTTCAGTCTCTCATCATATTCCTCACGAAAGAGTTGCTCTGCTCGACGCACCGCCCAGGTCTCTCTCATCGATGAAAGAAGGGGAACATACAGCAGCGGAGCGACATGCGTGGCTTGAAGAGTGACGGCAAAACGTTGTATTTCTCTCATCTGTTCCTTGTGCCGGCTCTGCAGCTCCGATTCCAGTGCCTTGCGCTCAGTGGCCTCTGTACGCACAAGAAGCTCAATGAAAGCGTCCATTAAGTTATTCACGGATGCCCTTAACTCACCAAATGGCGGCCTCACTAGAGAAACCGCTTGATATGAATCCGCATTCACTTCACTTTTTGAAAGAACCTCTCTTCCAGGAGCTGCGTCAATTGAGAGCCATGACTGAATGATGTCGTTCCCTGCGGGGTCACACATCTGAAACATGGGGGATTTCGTGGCTGCTATGTCACCATATTCACCAAAACGGCTCGGTTTTAATCCTCTTCGCGCCAGTGGGCACGGTGGCAAATTCGGGCCAAAGAGTTCTTGCAAAAACTGACGCGCGCCCTCTTCAGTATGCAACGCTGATGTGCATGAATGCGTACCAATTCCATGTGCAGGGAACTGTCTATCCCCGCTGTTGTGTTTCTCAAGACTGTGTTTGAAATTAACGCCATCTGTAAAAGGTGTACCCAATTGCTTCTCCTTCAGCGAGCTCGCGCGCCCACTCGGCGGCTCTGAGAAAGATAAGACACCAAATTGTTGCTCTCTCGTCATATGCAAAAAAAGAGGAGAATATGGGCAGTGTCCGGTGCAGCGGATGGCTTCCTCCAAAAATACGGCCCTCGTCACCAAGGGTGTGAAAGCCACGGGTGCCGTCGTCTGCATTACCTGAAAAATACGAAGCAGATCACCACGTTCACTGTGGATGATGTGCAGTGAATCAATAGCACAGCGTTCCTCACACACCCGCCGCTCGTCACGTTGAATTGCAAGAAATGCCATATGCCGCCTTGCCACACGTCGATTTATACAGTTACGCATTGTACTAAGTGCCCGGTTATACCTCATTTTTTGGTACATGAAATGGACAAAATGTCGCTCCTTCTGCGATCTAAAAACGCGTTGCAAGAGAAGTACGGCCTTTTCCTTCGCCGCACAAATGCGCTTGATTTTCAGGCGCATTAATGAAATGATGAGTCTAGAGACGTTTTCCAAGAGAAACCGCCTACGCTGACGGTGCTTGCGCCATGCGGTTTGTATCACAAAGGCCGCCCTTGGTTTCTCCACCGTTTCCCACACGACCCTCCTGCGGTACTGAGCGATTATGCGTCGCATGGCGGCAACAAATAAACTACAAAAAAACGTCGCGCATAAAGCAAATAGGATCCGCTTCTGCAAAAAGCCACTTATGGAGGCTGACGAAGATGATGCCACGCGGTGCCTCCCTTGCTCTGTGGAATAATTCGACCCCGACGCCCATGTCAGCGTTGCTATGCGCCTTCCACCGCTCAAACTCGCCCTGCCTGCAGGGGCTCCGCTGAATCCCTTACTGACACTCTTCTTGTCCGATGAAGACGCTGCTTTCCATGCTTCCGAATGGCTCCCAGGCAAATTGAGAGCAGCACCTGTCTTCGCCGTCCCCTTTGCCTTCCGACTGCGAAGACCACGCTTCATCCTTCTACGACAAACCCAACACCACGGGAAAAAAGCCCACCTGCTCGCAAAACGCAAAATAATAATTATAATAATAATAACAAAAGAACAACAACAATTAGCAAAAGCAACAAAAGCAGTACATAGGAAAAAAAAAAAAAGTCCACCAAGATGCACAACAACAGGAAACGCAAAAATAAGAGCAATTTAACAGGAATCAAAAAAAAAAACAATCCCAAAAGGGAAAGAATCCCCCTCCCTCATATCCGTCAAATTGACAGCATGCGCACACACATATATATATACATGAACGGAACTTACACCTGGGCTGCTTGCCGGATCCTCAACCCATATATGCATGCACATATATATATATATATATATATTTATATTTACGTTTATGTGCGTATGTATTTTTTAAAAAGTGGAGCAACGGTTAATAAAATGCCTATTAGGTTAGGTCCATGGCATTCCATTGGGGAAAAAAAGAACCCCAATAAAATTCCACATCAAAAATATGCGGAACATGACAATTGTGCTACCTCCCCATGGATCCCACACAATCTGTCGAGCCCAAATCCAGTACAGCGCGGGTGAAGACATAATGAAACGATTCACCACGTTCACATGCACCATAGTAACCCCAATACAAATTAGGATAACAAGGTACAGCATGTTGGACGATTGAACTAAGGCCTCTATTATACGACAAAAGAAGGAAAAATAAAACCATCGGTTTTTCTGTAAACCGTTGTTTTTTTTTCTACTGACACCACCGCATCCGTTACTTCCTTTTGATGCTGTTGAGGTCGCCCCTTCAAATGCAGGAATGACATAAAAAAGCCAAAACCCCCGAACTGTGAAAAATACAATGGGGGCGGAAATAAAGACATTCGGAATATTTTTCAACCGGTAGGAAGTAAGGAACCCCACATTCCAGTAGCGTTTTTGTATCCATCCGTAAAAGGAGAAAAAGCGACCACCAATTGTCATCCGTGACGTGGGATCCCACTGCGGCACAAACCGACCAAAACAGAAGTACGTCATGGAAAGATAGGGTACACAAATGACCATCAATTCCAACAAAACTACCGCACACCGCAGAAAGCTTGGCCACCGCGAAAGCGCCTTGGTGTCCCCATGGTACTGGCGGTAACGCCTCCTGTACGTGTTGAATAAGAAGATCTGCAAAAAAATGGGATACAACAAGAATCCCGCATACAGAAAGGCATTGGAGCGGGCCCATCCTGCCAAAGTAAAACACAACACGGCGCCAGCCTCAGCAGCAATCGTTACAATCCTGCTTCCTGCCTTTGGTGAAAAAAGAAGCAAATACAATCCCACAAACGTCAAGAATGAAAATACACTTTCTGTGTACACAACCACGGTAAACACGGCTGTGGGACTCATCATCCACATCAAAAGCACCGCACCCACCTCCCGTCTTAGCGTCTTCTTGACATCTTTACCCGAGTCGTTTTCCTTTTGACTATAATGCCGCAGGGTTGGTGGTGGTGGTAACTCATCCAGCCATGTTCCACCAACCGCCGCCATTCTACCGGTCACTGTCGAACGAAGAAGAGTCAGCACCGTAATACGTCGCAGAAAAATAGCAGAGGCTCCACCCAGCGCAACGTTCAGCAAAGCCACCTGGAAGGAAATAGGAAAAACGGCAAGGGGTGTTGACAAAAAAAAGTTGTTAAGCCACGAAATAATACGCACAAGAGATGGAAGAAGAGGAAAAAACGCACAAGTGTTTTCATGAGAATACCCATATTTTGCTATATGAAAGTAGTGAACGCCGTCCCAACTACGAGGAAAGTCCAGAAACCCCCACTGACCACTCGTATCGTTTTGCAGCAACCCAGAGGTGTCAAAAAGAAGCTCCGTGTCAAGCAACTTCGGGAGCACCGCGTATGAGACGAGCATCGCTAGAAGCACAAGCATACGGGTCCCACAGACAAGAAAGAATAGGGTGGTCCCCGAAGAAGAGGCAAGTCGAAGTAAAACATCCCGCCGTTGAGTTTGCAACTTCATCCTTTCCATCGTCTTTTCTAATAAAACTAAATTTTTTGATATTAAATCTGCTTTATGTTTAAAGTCCAAAAATTAGTCAAAAAATAATAATAATAATAATTAAAAAAAAAAAAACAGCAACAACACAAAGACACATGACGGAAATAAACCCCAACAATTTGGATGTAAAACCATAATTTAGATTAAAAAACCCTAACAAAATTTGTACTAGAAAAGTAATCCCCACAGTGCACAGAATGAGACAAACACGGACGGACAGACACGTGCATGCGCACCTCATTTGTTTCCATCCTCGGCGCGTCAATCGCTAACAGTGCGGTACACAACTGATGTATAGACTGGCAAGTTTTTTATTTGTCAGCTCAAAGGCTGTTTCAACACATTTCGTAAGGTCAAGTGCCTCTTTGGCCTTCACCAAAAGTTCTCTTATCTCCGTCATGCTGTGCGCGAAGAGGTGTTACTCACCTCGCCGCTTGTATTCAGGGTTAGTCGTATCTGTGGAGTGAGAATAACTGTGCCCCCAAAGCAATGCGTAGGGTGTATACCACACACCAACCAGCTCAACCACCGAGGGAACTGGGGGCAGAAACTGTAGCCACATGAGCCCATTTCCATGAGCGTCAATAAAAATTACGGTTATTGTGGCAATGCGCAGTTGTTCTCGAGCGAGAATAGTTTCAAAGGCCACAACTTGTGACTCAAAGCCCATAATTTGCATAAGTTGAAATATATCCGGTATGTTTGACAAACTAGATCTGCGTCCACGTCGGTCAATCAATTTAGCGCGGTATTTGTTTCCGCAGGGGCCTGGCTAAATAGGTAAAAAAACCATCATCTCCAATACACCAAAACTATAGTTCCTTGCCTCTACACCAATCATACTCTTGATTTAACGCTTGTCAATGACCCCGTGTTGGTGGCACGCAGTTTGCAGAATTTGACCGGATTTTAGCGGGTGAATCTTCTCCGGGCGGTTGGTCAAAATTCGGTAAAACGGCCAGCAGGGATTCCCTGCAAAGGGAAATCGATGATCCTAACCATATTTCGTGTTTCTCGGATTCTCAAGGTTTCGCGGGTCACCAAGTTTAACGTTACAATAGCCACCGTCCTTCCGTATTCCTCTCGCTATTCGAAATATACACGTCAGCATAATCTTGTCCGAAATCTTTCTTGGCGTGAAAAGCCGGAAGAAGCGAAAGTGTCATGTGGAAAAGATCCTCACACCAAAAGTGCAGGATCCATCCCTTCGTGACGGTGTTAAGCGGAGCAGGGAGAGGCCGCGATGTGTTGTTCGGAAGTGGATTTGACCAATAATGGATGTATATCAATGGGCTGTGGCGTGAAAACTCATTACACGCACGCAGGCCTCGTTTAAATTTACCGGTTCCATGAACTTGGTCATGAAAAAAAAGCAATGTCCCACGATCGACACAGAAATTGTGAACTTCGTAGTGGCAGTATCTAAGTTTTTTGATTTTCGTTATGAAGAGTCCGGCATCGGCGCTGCTGTTTGCGAATGTGGTGCTGTGTAGAGTGACGGAATTGTTGTGCCGAATAATCTC